AGACCCTGCGACCTGCCACACCTAGATGGCACTAATTTAGTCCCTGCCTTTCCTGGCTGGGTGACCTTGGCCAAAAGGTGCTGAACGTCTCTGAGCTCTCTCTCCCATCTGTAAAATGGGAACAGGAATGCCGCCTTGCTCACTGGTGGTGACAGGGATTACATGTGATCATTCCGATCTTGGGCTCAAAACACAGGAAGAGCCCCGTCCACCAGATCACGTGGTGGGTGCCAGGAAAGCCCTCCACCCTCTTGGAAGCCACTTGCCATTTCTCTCCTCCTCCCCACCCCCTCCCTGCCCAGGGCACCTTAGGACGCGGCTGCCAGGCGAGGAGGAACATGGCAGACACACGGCTGAATTTGGCCCATGCGTCGGGTGGCTGAGTCACATCCCCAAATTGCATCTTCATTGGTGCGTTTCAGAAGGTCGTTTGCAGAGGCCCTTGGAGGCCCACACCCCCTCTGGGTTCTGTCTGCCAGGCCACCCACTTCTCCTCCCCATGTCCCCCGTCCGGGGCAGGGAACTTTTGCACCCTCAGGGAAATGGTGGAAGGGGTGCCTGAGTTTTCCTGGGCCCCCTGGATGAGGACAGGATCTGAGATCCTTGGGTACACCCTAGTACAAGCTCCCAGCCCCACCTGGCAGCCAGCGGACGTTCAGGTGCTGGGCAGAGGCTTGAGACTCAGAGCAGAAGGCCCACCTAAGTATTTGAGAGGTTAGAGGAAAAATCAGGGCCAAGGTCAGCCTCATAAACTTGTCAAATGCTGGGCCCACAGGAGGCCAGACCTTATAGACTTGAAGTGCTGGGCTTGCAGAAGTTCAGGCCTGATAAACTGTGAAGTACCAGGCTACAGGAGGCAAGGCCTTATAAACTGGGAAGTGCTGGGCCTGTGGGAGGTCAGGCCTTATAAGCTGCGAAACACCTGGTCACAGGAAACCACAGCCTGATTGATGTGCCAGGTGAGGGTGGGGAGGGGCGGGACAAGTTGTGAGACTCGTGAGATCACCTGGCCATTCAAGGAATGATTCTTTTTTTTGGAGACAGGGTCTCACTCTGTCACCCAGGCTGGACTACAGTGGTGCAATCTTGGCTCCCTGCATCCTCTGCCTCCTGGGTTCAAGTGATTCTTGTGTCTCAGCCTCCCACGCCCAGCTAATTTTTATATTTTTTGGAAGACAAAGGGTTTTGATTTATTTATTTTTTTTTTTTGAGACAGAGTCTCACTTTTGTTGCCCAGGCTGGAGTACAATGGCACAATCTTGGCTCACTGCAACCTCCGCCTCCCGGGCTCAAGCGATTCTGCTGTCTCAGCCTCCTGAGTAGCTGGGATTACAGACGCCCACCAGCACACCTGGCTAATTTTTGTATTTTTAGTAGAGACGGGGTTTCACCATGTTGGCCAGGCTGGTCTTGAACTCCTGACCTCAGGTGATCCACCCACCTCGGCCTCCCAAAGTACTGGGATTACAGGCGTGAGCCACCGCGCCCAGCCCTGAAGGAATGATTCTTGCACTCCTGTGTGCTGGCACTAATATCTAGAGACACATAGTGAGGGGACAGACACAGTGTGGGGAGTGCCGGGCAAAGACACAGGTGGTCTTGCAATGTGTGCAGTGGCCAAGGTCACCCTTGTCACCCGTGTCCCAACCAGCAGTGTGGCTCATCTTTTTTTTTTTAATTTTTTTTGAGACGGAGCCTCTCTCTGTCACCGAGGCTGGAGTGGAGTGGCATGATCTCAGCTCACTGCAGACTCTGCCCCCAGGTTCAACTGAGTCTCCTGCCTCAGCCCCCCGAGTAGCTGGGATTACAGACACCCACCACCACACCTGGCTAATTTTCGGAGTTTTAGTAGAGGCAGGGTTTCGCCATGTTGGTCAGGCTGGTCTCGAACTCCTGACCTCAAGTGATCCACCCACCTTGGCCTCCCAAAGTGCTGGGATGGCAGGCCTGTGCCACCACGCCCAGACAGGGTGGCTCACTTGCTGTGTCCTGGAATGACGGTCTCTTAGCCTGTAACCCCCACTGGGGGAGGGAAATGTCCTGCCTGTGCACACAGCTGCCCCTCAACCCTTCTTCCTGGCCTGGCACGTGGGGAACCCCCAGCTCACGCTGTTGTGACCGTTTCAAAGGAGCCAGCACTTGGTCCTCCACCCACCCCTGCCCAGCTTGTCGGGAAAGTCCCACAAAGGAGACTCGTCCAGAATGTTCCTTGCAAGGAGATGGCGTCGCTTCAGGCGGGTCCTTTCACAACACCGTGCAGTTTCCCCACCTGCAAAACTGGCCAAATCTCAGGACCCACTTCTTGGCTGTGTTAGGAGGATTCATAACACTACGTAAAGAATGGAACCTAGGGCTGGGCGCGGTGGCTCATGCCTGTAATCCCAACACTTTGAGAGGCCGAGGAGGGAGGATCACTGGAGCCCAGGAGTTCAAGACCAGCCTGGACAATGTAGCAAGACCTCATCTCTGCTAAAAATAAAAATAAATCCGTTTGTGCTTGATAGCTCGCGCCTGTGATCCCAGCACTTTGGGAGACTGAGGCGGGTGGATCACAGGGTCAGGAGATTGAGACCATCTTGGGTAACATGGTGAAACCCCATCTCTACTAAAAATACAAAAAAATCAGCCAGGCGTAGTGGAGTGCACCTGTAATCCCAGCTACTCAGGAGGCTGAGGCAGGAGAATCACTTGAACCCGGGAGGCGGAGGTTGCAGTGAGCTGAGATTGTGCCATTGCACTCCAGCCTGGGCGACGAGAGTGAGACTCCACCTCAAAAAATATATATAATGATAATAAATAGATAAATCGTCTATGGCCACACCACCCTGAATGCACCCAGTCTCATCTGATCTCTGAAAAACAAATCGTTAGCTGGGGTGGTGGCACAAATCTGCAGTCATGGCTGCTTGGGAGGCTGAAGTGGGAAGATCACTTGAGCCCAGGAGTCCGAGGCTGCAGTGAGTGAGGATCATCACCTCAGTGCACGCGAGGGTCTGAGATACTGCTCTGGGCAGGGCAGGTGAGAGTCTGATAAGCTGGATCCAGGGACTCATCAGTGTCTTGGTGAGCGTGATCATGTCATCGTCATTGCACTCCCTGCTGTCACCATGATGCCACAGGGCATTGCTCTCTGATTACACAGGGTGCCCCTCAATAGCCTGGCAGGGAAACTGAGGCTGACCTGAGATCACAGAGCCCAGCCAAGAGTCTCTTATATCTTACAAAGCCCTGCAGAATCCATTCCAGATTGATTTAACTCCAAGTGTTAAATCCTGCATTGCCCTGCTGGTCCCGGAGTCTGTTTGGAGATGATGGATCCCCTCTTGCCGAGTCACGAGGGAACCTCAGGATCTCTGAGCCACAGCCAGGGCCTCCAATAGCCCACAGCCCACAGCCTGAGCCTACAAATGCAGGAGGCACAGTGGGGTGAGGTTAATTCCTCGAAGAGTTTGAAGGTCGGAAGAGGGTGAGCTCAGATGAAAACCCCCTTCTGGCTGGGCACGCTGGCTCATGCCTATAATCCCAGCATATTGGGAGGCTGAGGCGGGCAGATCACCTGAGGTCAGGAGTTTGAGACCAGCCTGACCAATGCAGAGAAATCCCATCTCTACTAAAAATACAGAATTAGCTGGGTATGATGGCGCATGCCTGAATCCTGACTGCTCGGGAGGGTGAGGCAGAAGAATCGCTTGGACCTGGGAGGCAGAGGTTGCAGTGAGTTGAGATCGCACCACTGCAGTCCAGCTTGGGCTACAAGACCGAAACTCCATTTCAAAAAACAGAAAAAAGAAAACCACCTTCTAAGTATGTCATTAGCAAGCCTATCCTCTCAGGCAAGTCCGCTGGTAGATTTCATCTTCCGGCATTCTGCAAGTGTTCACTGAGTGTCACCTGTTTGCTAGGCATCGTTCTAGGTATTTGGATGCACAGAAAGTCAGCAGGCAGGGTTCTGGTGGGTGGGTGTTCCAGGCAGAGGGCACCACCTGTGCCAAGGCTTGGAGAAGGATGAGCTTGTTGGAGTTTGGTGATTGGGAGGCGATTGTGGCTGGAGGGATTGGGTCTGGGCAGAGTAAGAAGGATGAGATGGGTGGGAACCATATACAGAGGGCCCCTCAGCCATAGTGAAGAGTTTGCTGTTTTACTTTATTTTGTTTGTTTTTATTTTTATTTTTATCTTTTTGCGAGATGGAGTTTCACTCTTGTTACCCAGGCTGGAGTGCAATGGCGCGATCTCGGCTCACCGCAACCTCCGTCTCCTGGGTTCAGGCAATTCTCCTGCCTCAGCCTCCCGAGTAGCTGGGATTACAGGCACGTGCCACCATGCCCAGCTAATTTTTGTATTTTTAGTAGAGACGGGGTTTCACCATGTTGACCAGGATGGTCTCGATATCTTGACCTCGTGATCCACCCGCCTCAGCCTCCCAAAGTGCTGGGATTATAGGTGTGAGCCACTGTGCCCGGCCTATCTTTTTCTTTTTTTTTTTGAAACATGGTCTCACTCTACCCCCCAGGCTGGAGTGTCGTGGTGAGATCTCGGCTCACCACAGCCTCTGCCTCCTGGGTTCAAGCTGCCTCAGCCTCCCGAGTGGCTGGGATGACAGGTGTGCACCACTGCACCTGTCTAATTTTTATATTTTTAGTAGCAACAGGGTCTTCGCCATGTTGGCCAGGCCGGTTTCGAACTCCTGACCTCAAGTGATCTTTCTGCCTCTTCCGTCTATGTAGGTGCTGTTATCAGAGCTGCACCACCATGCCCATCTCTGGAGTTTTTTTTTCAATGGGATGGCAGTGGGGAGCCACGGGAGGGCTTCCAGGAGGGGAGGGGTTCAGGCTGACTCATGTTTGGGATGGTAAACCCAAGTGTGTGTCAGCGCTCTGGGTTCACTGCTCCCAAGGCCACTCCTAAGCCTTAGAATGTTCTGGGATGGCCGGGATGGTCCTTGTCTCTCTGGTCAGTGAGCTGGACCCTACTGTGACCATGTCCCTCTGTGTCCTTGCAGGTCAGCGCAGGAGCCCCGCCGCTGAGCCATGCCGGGCCCCAGGCGGCCTGCAGCGAGCCCAAGCCCTGCACCCAGGTAGTCATGAACAGCCACAGCTACAATGGCGGCGTGGGGCGGCCTCTGGGCAGTGGGCCAGGCGCCCTGGGACGAGACCCTCCGGACCCCGAGGCCGGCTGTCCCCCGCAGCCCCCGCACAGCCCGGGCCTCCAGGTGGTGGTGGCCAAGAGTGAGCCAGCCGTGCCCTCGCCCGGCAGCCGCCGGGGGCAGCCCCAGGACCAGGATGATGAGGAGGATGATGAGGAAGATGAGGCTGGCGGGCGGAGGGGCTCGGGGAAGCCCTCAAACGTGGGCCACCGCCTGGGCCACCGGCGGGCGCTCTTTGAGAAGCGGAAGCGCCTCAGTGACTATGCCCTCATTTTCGGCATGTTTGGCGTCGTCGTCATGGTGACGGAGACTGAGCTGTCCTGGGGCGTATATACCAAGGTAGGCGCGGTCCTCCCAGGCACCCCAGGGAGGCTCCACCGGGCCCGTGGGCTGGGGGTGGCAGGGCCCCCCAGGAGGTAGGGGGTGTTGGGGGGCTCCTGGAGATGAGGGGTTCCTGGCCTCTGGCACACCCACCTCCGGGAAGGTAGCAGGGAGGCCGCATGTGGGGAGGGCAGGTTTCAGCCCATTCCCTGGCTGGGTGTCAAGGGGCTGCATCCTGGCTTAAGGCAGAGAGGGCGCTTCCCCCAAGGACAGGGGAGCCCCAGAATGGGCCTGCTCCAGGGAGCAACGGGAGAGCTTCCTCCCTTCCGCAAGTGAGCATGTGCAGATTATAAGCCTGGTTGTGGGTCCCCTCCTGCCACCAAGAGTGTGTGAGGATGGAGAGAGATCAAGGCTGTGTCAGCCTATAAACTGTGAAGTGCCATGCCCACGTGACGCCAGGCCATATGAACTGTGAAGTGCCGTGCCCACGTGATGCTGGGCCTTATACACTGTGACTTAGTGTGTCCTTGTAAGGCTGGGCCTTATAAACTGTGAAGTGCTGTGCCCACGTGAGGCCAGGCCTCATAAACTGTGAAGCACTGGACACATCTTGCCATCAGCCCAGTCCCCAGGAATAAGGGCAGGAGAGCACCGCTTCCTGAGCACAGCACCTGCTGCACGCCAGCCCTGATGAAGCTGTTTCACACACAGTGGCCCCAGGACTGGGGAAAGCAGAAAGTCGGGGTACAGTGGGGGAAGCCACTGGGAAGAGCACCATTTGGCTGACTCCCTTGCCCGGGAGCCAGGGTAGGGGGACGGGAGCACCGCCTGCCGCCTCCAGCATCCATCTGGCTGTGTCCTCTCTTTTCACAGGAGTCTCTGTACTCATTCGCGCTCAAATGCCTCATCAGCCTCTCCACGGCCATCCTGCTGGGTCTCGTTGTCCTCTACCATGCCCGGGAGATCCAGGTCAGTGCTGAATGCTGCAGGAAGCAGCTTCTCTCTCCAAACACCAGATCCCCCACACCAGCCCACCTGAGACCCCACCCCCAAAACATAAAAGGATGAGCAATCGCTCCTGAGAGAAAAATGGCCTCCGTAAAGACACAGTTTCCATCATTCTAGATTTCCTTGAAACACACATCTGTGTTTTAATTTTCATTTATTTACAAAAAAAGAATAGATAGTGAGAAGGTGAGGGGCTGAGCTGAGACTCTGGGACACACAGGTGTTTCCAGGCTGGAGTGCAATGGTGCGATCTTGGCTCACTGCAACCTCTGCCTTCTGGGTTCAAGCAATTCTCCTGCCTCAGCCTCCCGAGTAGCTGGGATTACAGGTGTGAGCTACCACGCCGGCTAATTTTTGTATTTTTAGTAGAGATGGGGTTTTACCATGTTGGCCAGGCTGGTCTTGAACTTCTGGCCTCCAGTGATCTGCCTGCCTAGGCCTCCCAAAGTGCTGGGATTATAGCTGTGAGCCACTGGTCCTGGCCTGTTTATTTAGTTTTTGAGACAGGGTCTCATTCTGCTGCCCGGGCTGGAGTGCAGTGATGCGATCATAGCTTGACCTCCTCTGTGTTCAAGAGATTCTCCTGCCAATCTCCTGAGTAGCTTGGACCACAGGCGCACACCATCATGCCTGGCTAATTTTTTTTTTTTTTTTTTTGAGACGGAGTTTTGCTCCCGTTACCCAGGCTGGAGTGCAATGGTGTGATCTCAGCTCACCACAACCTCCGCCTCCTGGGTTCAGGCAATTCTCCTGCCTCAGCCTCCTGAGTAGCTGGGATTACAGGCACGCGCCACCATGCCCAGCCAATTTTTTGTATCTTTAGTAAAGATGGGGTTTCACCACGTTGACCAGGATGGTCTCGATATCTTGACCTCGTGATCCATCCACCTTGGCCTCCCAAAGTGCTGTAATTTTTTTATTGTCTTGTAGAGATGGTGTCTCCCCATATTCCTCAGGCTGGCCTCAAGCTCCTGGGCTCAAGTAATCAGCACACCTCACTCTCCCAAAGTGCTGGGATTTTACAGGTGTGTGCCACATTGCCCGGCCACACACGCACGTTGATAACAAGTAGCCAAAAATCACACCTGGAATCCCAGTACTTTGGGAGGTCAAGGTAGGTGGATCACTTGAGGTCAGGAGTTCAAGACCAGCCGGGCCAACATGGCAAAACTTCATCTCTACAAAAATACAAAAATTAGCCAGGCATGATGTCAGGTGCCTGTAGTCCCAGGCTACTCGGGAGGCTGAGGTGTGAGAATCACTTGAACCTGGGAGGCGGAGGTTGCAGCGAGCCAAGATCGTGCCACTGTACTCCAGTCTAGGTGACAAAGTGAGGCTGTCAAAAAAAAAAAAAAGCCAGGCTTGAATGGATAAATAAAATGTAGTGCACCTGTATAATGGAACATTCAACCTTTTTTTTTTTTTTTTGAGATGGAGTCCCACTGTGTCACCCAGGCTGGAGTGCAATGGCGCAATCTTAGCTCACTGCAACCTCTGCCGCCTGAGTTCAGGCAATTCTCCTGCCTCAATCACCTGAGTGGCTGGGATTACAGGCATGCGCCACCATGGCCGGCAAATTTTTGTATTTTTAGTAGAGATGGGGTTTCTCTCTATTGGCCAGGCTGGTCTTGAACTCCTGACCTCAGGTGATCTACCCACCTCGGTCTTCCAAAGTGCTAGGATTACAGGCGTGAGCCACTGCACCTGGTCTATTGAACCTTAACCAAAGAATGAAACACTGAAACAACACAAATGTATTGCCTGGAAGTTCTGGAGTGTACACATCTGAGATCAAGGCGTTAGCACAGTTAGTCCCTTCTGAGAGTCGCCATGAGAGAGAATCCGTCCCAGGCCTCGCCTAGCTTTTGGTGACTGCGGGCAGTTTTGGGATTTCTTGGCTTAGGAGCTGTGCCTCTCCAACGTCTGCCTGAGGCTCACATGCTATTCTCCCTGTGAGAGTGTCTGTGTGTCCAAATTTCCCCCCTCTTTTTTCTTATGAGAACACCAGTCATTATTGGATTAGGGCCCACTGTAATTATAATCAGATGATTCCACCTTTTTTTTTTTTTAGAGACAGTGTTTCACTCTGTCGCCCACACTGGAATTCAGTGGCTTGATCACAGATCACTGCAGCGTCGACATCCTGGGCTTAAGCAGTCCTCCCACCTCAGCTCCCAAGTAGCTGGGATTACAGGCACTTGCCACCACCCCCAGCTCATTTTTAATTTTTTGCTTTTTTTTTTTGTAGAAAAGGGGTCTTACCGTGTTGGGCAGGCTGGTCTTGAACTCCTGGGCTCAAGCAATCCTCCCGCCTCAGCCTCCCAAAGTGCTGAGATTACAGCATGAGCCACTGCGCCTGGCCTGATTCCAGGCCAGGAATCATCTTAACTAGCCAACCTCATTACGATGACCTCATTTAACGAGGTGACCTCTATAGAGACCTTGTCTCCATATAAGAGCACATTCCGAGGTGTTAGAGGTTAGGATGCCAGCATATCTTTTACAGCAGAACACAGGTCAACTCATAACAATTTCTGATACTGAACACGGATGAACCCCAGAAATAGGACGCTCAGCGGAAGAAGCCAGACACAAACAGCCACAAATCGCGTGCTTCCATTTATGTGAAATTTTCAGAAGACGCAAATCCGCAGAGACAGAAAGGAGATCAGTGGTTGCCAGGGGCTGAGAAAGGGAGCAACCGCTAATGGGGACAGGACTTCCTTTTGGGGTAATGGAAGTGTTTTGAAATTAAATAGAAGTGGTGGCTGCAAACACTGAATGTACTAAATGCCACTGAATTGTGCACTCTAAATGGGAGAATTGTAGGGTTTGTGAATTTCTTTTTTTGTTTTTTGAGATGGAGTCTTGCTCTGTTGCCCAGGCTGGAGTTCAATGGCACGATCTCAGCTCACCGCAACCTCCGCTTCCCAGGTTCAAGTGATTCTCCTGCCTCAGCCTCCTGAATGGCGGGGATTACAGGCATGTGCTACCATGCCTGGCAAATTTAATTTTTGTGTTTTTAGTAGAGATAGGGTTTCGCCATGTTGGCCAGGCTGGTCTCATGACTTCATGATCTGCTGCCTTGGCCTCCCAAAGTGTTGGGATTACAGGTGTGAGCCACCATGCCTGGCCATGTGAATTTCATACACACACACACACACACACACACACACACACTTGTGGGGGTTTTTTTTTGAGACGGAGTTTCACTCTTGTTACCCAGGCTGGAGTGCAATGGCGCGATCTCTGCTCACCGCAACCTCTGCCTCCTGGGTTCAGGCAGTTCTCCTGCCTCAGCCTCCTGAGTAGCTGGGATTACAGGCACGCGCCACCATGCCCAGCTAATTTTTTGTATCTTTAGTAGAGACGGGGTTTCACCATGTTGACCAAGATGGTCTCGATCTCTTGACCTCCTGATCCACCCGCCTCGGCCTCCCAAAGTGCTGGGATTACAGGCTTGAGCCACCGTGCCCAGCCTTTTTTTGTTTTTTTGATGGAGTCTCACTCTGTCATCCGGGCTAGAGTACACAAAATCTCAGCTAACTGCAACCCTCACCTCCCAGGTTCAAGTGTCCTGCCTCAGCCTCCCGAGTAGCTGGGATTACAGGCTCCTGCTACCACGCCCGGCTAATTCTTATATTTTTTGTAGAGACTGGGTTTCACCATGTTGACCAGGCTTGTCTCGAACTCCTGACCTCAAGTGATACACCCACCTCAGCCTCTCAAAGTGCTGAGATTACAGGTGGGAGCCACCACACCCGGCCTGTTTCTCTTTTTAAGTACAGGATCTTGCTCTGTCACCTAGGCTGGAGTACAATGGTGCAGTCAGAGCTCACTGCAACTTCCAGCTTGTGGGATCAAGCAATCCTTTTGCCTCAGTCTTGCAAGTAGCTGGGACCACAGGCACAGACCACCATGCCCAGCTGCATTTAAAACCATTGTGGTTTTATATAAAGAAAACTCCTGGACTCCAGTGATCCTCCTGCCGTGGCCTCCCAAAGTGCTGGGATTATACGTGTGAGCCACAGACTCGGCTTTTTTTTTTTTTTTTCAGTGTAATTCAGGCTGAATGCAGTGGCTCACACCTGTAATCCAATACTTTGGAAGGCTGAGGCAGAAGGATCACTTGAGCCCAAGTTCAGGATCAGCCTGGGCAACATGGTGAAACTCTGTCTCTACACAAAATTTTTTTTAAAAATTGGCCAGCCATGTTGGTACACATCTGTAGTTCCAGCTACTTGGGAGCTTGAGGCAGGAGGATCACCTGAGCCCAGGGAGGTCAAGGCTCTGTGGCAAGTCATGATCGGGCCACCAGCCTGGGGGACAGAATGAAACTCCGTCTCAAAAAACAAAACAAACCAAAAAACCAGAGGCAGTACGGGCAGCAACACAGCAAGACCCACTCCTCTAAAGAAAAAAAAAGAGGAAGGAGTTTGAGGCCTCAGTAACCTGTGATTCTGCCAGAGCAAGATCAGGTCTCAAAAAAAAGGGCAGGGCATGGGGGTGGGGAGAGGGGGTGTGGACAAACTCCTGAGGTTACCTTTGCCTCCAGCTCCAATATGATTGGTCCCGGCTCGGGACTGACAGATGTTATGTATCAGGCCCAGGACATGGTCAGGGCCCCCCATCAAGGCCCCCAGGGTTGGGGGGGTAGCAGTGGCACTGCAGGGTGTCCTTTATGTCAACGCTTTGCGCTCTGCGGATGTGTGAGCGGAGGAGGCCCCTAGAACGCAAGGCCGCCACATTTTAAGGAAGTGATTTTTTTTTCTTTTTCTTATTTTAGAATGACTTTATTGCTTCTTATTTTTAAAATGACACGTGAAAAACGAAAAAACTTGATACTTAGGAATTATACATACGTTCAGAAGGAAGAGAAAAGTACAGTGAAGGGCCGGGTGCGCTCACCTGGAATCCCAGCACTTTTCGAGGCCAAGGAGGGAGGACTGCTGGAGCCCAGGAGTTCGAAACCAGCCTCGGCAACAGAGCAAGACCCTGTCTCTACATAAGTTTTCTTTTCTTTTTTTTTTTCTTTGAGACGGAGTCTTGCTCATGTTGCCCAGTCTGGAGTGCAGTGGCACAATCTCGGCTCACTGCAATCTCCGCCTCCCAGGTTCCAGTGATTCTCCTGCCTCAGCCTCCCAAGTACCTGGGATTACAGGTGCATGCCCTCACACACAGCTAATTTTTGTATTTTTGTAGAGACCGGGTTTCACCATATTGGCCAGGCTGGTCTCGAACTCCTGACCTCAGGTGATCCACCTGCCTCTGCTTCCAAAGTGCTGGGATTACAGGCATGAGCCACCACACCTGGACTTCTTTTTTTCTTTTCTTTTTTTTTTTTTTTTTCGAGACAGAGTCTTGCTCTGTTGCCCAGGCTGGAGTGCAGGGGCGTAATCTTGGCTCACTGCAACCTCCACCTCCCTGGTTCAAATGATTCTTGTGCTTCAGCCTCCCCAGGCTGGGATTACAGGTACACGCCACCACACCTGGCTAATTTTTTTTGTATTTTTAGTAGAGATGGGGTTTTGCCGTGTTGCCTAGGCTGGTCTCAAATTTCTGTCCTGGAGCGGTCCTCCTGCCTCAGCCTCCCAAAGCACCGAGATTACAGGCGGGAGCCACACAGCCAACCTGTGTCCACTTCTGGAGGTTGTGACTCGTGCTGTCGAGAATGTGTCTGTCCAAGGGTTTGCTTAAACACTTGTTTTCATTTCTCTGAGTCTGTCCAGGGGTGTGAATGCTGGGTCATTAGTAACTCCATGTGGAAGTTTTTGGGGAACACTCATCTGCTATTTAGTTCAAATTGTGGCCAGTGTTGAGAACTAGAGAGTTTTGCATATGAGGTCACGTTTCTGACTTCTCTTGGAAATATTCGAAGCTGGCATCGTTGCTCCCTCACCAGTGATCCCAGCACTCTAGATCTGAGTGCTGAGGCAGGAGGACACTTGAGGCCAGGAGTTTGAGACCAGCCTGGGCAACATAGGGAGACACCATCTCTACAAAAAATTTAAAAAATTAGCCAGGCATGGTGATGCATGCCTGTAATCCCAGCTCCTCAGGAGGCTGAGGCCTGAGGATCATTGAGCCCAGGAGGTCAAGACTGCAGTGAGCTGTAATTGTGCCACTGCACTCCAGTCCAGGCAACAGAGCAAGACCTTGTCTCCAAAAAAAAAGGAAAAAGAAAAGAAAAATCCTGGCTAAGTGTGGTGGCTCATGCCTGTTATCCCAGCACTTTGGGAGGCCAAGCAGATGACTGGAGGTCAGGAGTTCGAGACCAGCCTGGCCAACATGGTGAAATCCTGTCTCTACTAAAAGTACCAAAAAAAAAAATTAGCTGGGCATGGTGGTGCATGTCTGTAGTCCCAGCTACTTGGAGGCTGAGGCAGGAGACTTGCTTCAGCCTGGGAGAGGGAGGTTGCAGTGAGCTGAGATTGTGCCACTGCTGAAAGACTTGAAAGAAAGACAGAAAGAGAGAGAGATAGAAAAGAGAGAAAGAAAATTAAAAAGAGGCTGGGCACAGTGCTCACAACTGTATCCCAGCACTTTGGGAGGCTGAGGTGGGCCATTGCCTGAGGTCAGGATTTCGAGAGCAATCTGGCCAACATAGTGAAAACCCATCTCTACTCAAAATATAAAAACTAGCCAGGTGTGGTGGTGGGTGCCTGTAATCCTGGGAGGCTGAGGCAGGAGAATCGGTCTCAGACGGGAGGTGGAGGCTGCAGTGAGGCAAGATCAGCCATTTCACTCCCGCCTGGGTGACAAGAGCAAAACTCCGTCTCAAAAACAAAAAAAAAAAAAAAGGAAGGAAAGAAAAAAATAAAAAAAGTCCAAGCCTGTGGGGTTTCAGGCCAGGCTGACATCACTCTCTGGGGGGTCCGGGGCTGAGCGGAGAGCGCGGGGGTGTTTCTGACACCCGTGGCTGGCCCCTCTCCCCCTCCACAGCTGTTCATGGTGGACAACGGGGCGGATGACTGGCGCATCGCCATGACCTGCGAGCGCGTGTTCCTCATCTCGCTGGAGCTGGCGGTGTGCGCCATTCACCCGGTGCCCGGCCACTACCGCTTCACATGGACAGCGCGGCTGGCCTTCACGTACGCGCCCTCGGTGGCCGAGGCCGACGTGGATGTGCTGCTGTCCATCCCCATGTTCCTGCGCCTCTACCTGCTGGGCCGGGTGATGCTTCTGCACAGCAAGATCTTCACGGACGCTTCGAGCCGCAGCATCGGGGCCCTCAACAAGATCACCTTCAACACGCGCTTCGTCATGAAGACGCTCATGACCATCTGCCCCGGCACGGTGCTGCTGGTCTTCAGCATCTCCTCCTGGATCATCGCAGCCTGGACCGTGCGCGTCTGCGAGAGGTGCGACCCCCGCCCCCGGAGCCCCCCACACCGGGGCCTGGGCCGAGGATGGCCTCAGGGACCCCCGCCCCAGCCCCCCTCTCCCTGGACCTCCGTGCCCATTCATGACTTCACGGATCCGAGCTCCCCCAGACCCTGACCCTGGCCATTGCTTCCGTCTCCCCGACTGCAAGACCTCCATGGTGCCTCCTGTCTCCCAGTTTGTGGCTTCAGGAATCATCCTCCCCGGGGACCCAGCCCTGTGTTCCCAGCTGCCCCCAACCAGGGAGGGACCCCAGCTCCCTCTTCCCCATCCTCCCCGCCAGGGTCTCTTGCGCCTCCTTCTCCTGACCGGCCCCTCGGCTCTCTGGAAGACTGACCCCTGCTCTCTGGCCCTGGGGGCGGAGGCAGCAGGCACAGGGACGCCTCCTCCCTCCTCTGCCTCCCACCTCCCACGTTTAACCAGCTCTCATTTTCCCCCCTGCCCGCTCCACCGGACTTTAGGGAAAACATGTGAGTCCCACCGTCGGCTGAGCTGTGTGCGCAGAGCAGCCGCTGCCACCGCTGCCGCCATCCCCCACCCGCCAGGAATTTAAGATTAGCTGCCGCAAGGGGAGGGAGGCAGGGAGGACGGGCCTGGCAGGGCGGGTTGGGGTCAGTCCCCCCATCTCGGGCGGAGGCGCTCTGCTGGGCGTCCTCTCTGAGTCTCGGGGCCCTTGTGTCCGGAGGGCGGGGGACTAAGGAAGGGCTTGGCTCTGATGTGTTTGCACAGTTCATCCCTGGGAGCTCCACATTTCCTCCCAAGGCTTTAATGGATCCGGGATGGGCTGGGCGTGGTGGCGCCTGCCTGGAATCCCAGCTACCCGGGAGGCTTAGGCAGGAGAATCTCTGTGAGCTGGGATCGTGCCACTCCACGCCAACCCACACAAACAAAAATAGGCGAATGAATAGTGCTGGGGTGAGGGAAAGCTAGCCACGCCCTGGGGACCTCCAAGCAGGAGGGGGTCTGTTGTGAATACCCCTGCACGGTGGTGGGGCATCAACCCGATCGACAGAGAGGGAAACCGAGGCTCTGGCTGGCAAAGGGACTTGCCCAGAGGCCTGAGTCCTGGTGGCCTCAGAGGCGGGAGGGGCTCCGCTGGGCCTGGGTGTGAGGGGCCTTATCTGGGAGAGGGTCTCCCTGCCATGCGCCTAGCTGGTGGAGGCCCTGCAGAGGTCCTGGGGGGGGGGGTCCCTGGCTGGACCCCTGCTTGCCCTCAGCGTCCCATTCTTATCCCTCTGCCCAGCTCCCATTCCCCAAACCCCCCTGCCTGGGTCTGTGTCCGGCTCTCAGGGATGAAGGCCCCGGTTCCTCTGGCCGTCAGGGCTTCCAGGGATCTCCTTGGTCCCCCTGATGTTCCCCCAGACAGCTCCCACAGCCCTTCCCCACCCCTCAAGGTGGGGTCAGAACTAGGGTTGGGGTATGGGGTTCTCCTGGTCTGGTATCCTTGAGGTCCAAGGTTGGTCCTTGCAGTGCTCTGCCCCCGATGGGGGAGGGGCACAGGGCAGGGCAGGCGGGCAGCCAATCCTAAATTCTGAGCCTGGCAACAATGCTTCAAGCCCCCTTGCCTGCCTCGCTCTGATCCACCCCTGCCTTCCGCATGTCCCCCCCGCCCTGCTCCTGGGTGGTCCCACGGCACCCCCCCCATTGCTCCCTCTGGGTCTGGGACTCACCCTTTCACCTGCTAGAGGGACCCCAGCCCCTCCTGCCCTCTGTGGGTCAGGCAGCTTGGGGCTCAGATGTTTCGGTATAAGTCCCTATGCCCCCACCCAGCAAGCATCCTAGAAGCCCAGACTGGAGGTGCCTGAAGTGGCATTTGACCTCTGCAGGAGTGGGGGCCCCCAAACAGCCAATATTTGGGGGGGCTTCCATCTCCTTCCTTCTGGAGCCTCTGACCCCAGCCCTGTCCTTGACTCTGTCACTCGCTGTGCCTGGCACAGGTCTCCTCAAAGACCCTGCTCCCTCTGGGCTCTGTCACCCACCATGCCTGGCACGGGCCTCCCCGAAGAGCTCCGTCTGTGCTATCCCAGTTGGCCTCTGACCTTGAACCCCGCAGAGGCTGGTTGGGGCTCAGACAACCGAAGCCCTGGGAAGGAGTGGGTTAGCTGGAAGGCAGGTCAGAGGGGCCCAGCCCCCGAACAAGGCCAAGGGGATTTGGAGGCTGAGAGCTGAACGGGAACAGATCCTAGAGCCACCCCCAGACTCAGAGAGCCAAGCCCTCTGCCCCTTGGCATGGCCACAGGCAGAACCTCTTTGCAGCCCCTCTGGCTGAAGTCAGGGAGGAGTGGGGGACTCATGCTGTCCCCCAGCCTATGTCCTTCATATATGGGCATCCCTTCTTCACTTGAGTCCCAGGGTGTGATCCTCCAGTCTCCTACCTCCCCAAACAGTCCTCCTCCCTCCTTGGGAACTCGCTGGCTGGGGAAGTTCTTCCTGGTGTCTGACCTGAATCCTTGCCTCCACCTCCTGCCACTTCTGGTGCCGTGGTCACCTGTCCTCCTGTCTGTGTGTGTCTGTCGTGGGAGGGGGATTGTATGTTCATGCAGCCTCACCTGGGCCCCTCTCTCTGCCCCATCTGGGGAAGCAGCTTGGGGGACAGGCAAAGGGAATGTGGGAGGGCTGTCGGGGGAGAGGGTGTGCATGTCCTGCGCTCACAGGACACGGCCCCCATGCAGCCAGGTGGACTCAGGGCCCTGCAGCCCTGGTGCCACCCCAGGGGGTGTGATGGAAGCAGAGGGGATGGTGTAAACTGACTGAACCCTCCCTTTTCCCACCCTGGCCCCCCCAGGTACCACGACAAGCAGGAAGTGACCAGCAACTTCCTGGGTGCCATGTGGCTGATTTCCATCACCTTCCTCTCCATCGGTTATGGTGACATGGTGCCCCACACCTACTGCGGGAAGGGCGTGTGCCTGCTCACAGGCATCATGGTAAGGGCAAGGGCCCATGTGCGTGACAATGGGAGGTCCAGCCAACCACCCACTCCACCATCCCTTGCATAACCCTCGCTGACGGGCACTCATCCTGTCATGGGCTGTGCCGGGCCACGTTCCTCCTGTCAGTCCTCCCCACCTCTGCCCTGCTTTTCCTTTGATGTCACGTGGAAGCCACGCCCACAGGCTTCCTAGGACTCTCCCTGTGGTCCTTCCAGGCCTAGATAGGCAGCTCCCACCATGCCTGCCCAGTCAGAAGCTGTGGTCCACTCTGACCAGAGAGTCATTGTCAATCGTTTATTCTCTACAGCCCAATTTATTGACAGCCTTTGGATCCAGGGCAAGGGGTTTGATGCTGATGTGCCTCAGTTTCCTCAGCTGTGACCAGCGCTATTTCCTCTGCTTTGCAAGGGCTAAGTCGGTTATTTATATGAGAGGCCCAGAACTGTGAATGCCAAGGACATGCTATAAATACCTACTGGGACAGCTGAGCGCCGTGGCTCAGGCCTGTAATCCCAGCATATTGGGAGGCTGAGGTGGGTGGATCACCTGAGGTCAGAGTTCGAGACCTACCTGACCAACATGGTGAAACCCCATCTCTACTAACGAATCCAAAAGTTAGTTGGGCATGATGGCACAGGCTACTCAGGAGGCTGAGGCTTGAACGTGGGACATGGAGGATGCAGTGAGCTGAGACCGTGCCACTGCACTCCAGCCTGGGCAACAAAGCAAGGCTCTGTCTCAAAAAGAAAAAGAAAAGAAAAAAAGTCACAAGTACAATGAAAGTCTCAAATTTTGGGCCAGGCACAGTGGCTCATGCCTATAATCCCAGCACTTTGGCAGGCTAAGGCGGGCAGATCACAAGATCAGGAGATCAAGACCATCCTGGCCAACATGGTGAAACCCCGTCTCTACTAAAAATACAAAAATTAGCTGGGCATGGTGGTGTGCGCCTGTGGTCCCAGCTACTTGGGAGGCTGAGGCAGGAGAATTGCTTGAACCCGGGAGGCAGAGGTTGCGGTGAGCCGAGATCGCGCCATTGCACTCCAGCCTGGTGCCTGGCAACAGAGTGAGACTCTGTCTCAAAAAAGAAAAAAAAAAAAAAGGTACAAAAATTAGCTGGACATGGTGGTGGGTGCCTGTAATCCCAGCTACTTGGGAGATCGAGACAGGAGAATTGCTGGAACCTGGGAGATGGGGGTGGTGGTGAGCCCAGATGGTGCTACTGCACTCCAGCCTGGGCAACAGAGCCAGACTCCATCTAAAAAATAAACAAACCTGCTGGGTGGTGTCTTCTGCAACCCAAACCTCCTTGCTTGGCTTTCGGGGTGTCCCCTGAGTCCCCATGATGTAAAGTATGTCTGTCATGATTCAGTGGGCATGGGCAGCGCCCATCTCCCCCAAAGGATTCTCTAGTCTGCCGTGGGTGCCCGTGGATATCCTTTGATGCTTCCTGCTTTCTCTTTTCCCTGATTCAGTCAAAAGGGTCCCTGTCCATCCCCTCCTTCCAGAACCTTCTTTCCCTCCAAACGTCTTTTATGCCCATGCCAACAAATGCTTTTCCATGTTTTATTTTATTTTTATGTTTTTATAGAGATGGGGTCTCACTGTATTGCCCAGGTTGGTCATAAACTCCTGGGCTCAAGTGATCCTCCTTCCTGGGCCTCCCAAGGTGCTGGGGTTATAGGCTGAGCAACTGCAGCTGGCCCACATCTGGCTTTTTTTTTTTTTTTTAGACGGAGTCTCACTCTGTTGCCCAGGCTAGAGTGCAGTGGCGCAATCTCAGCTCACTGCAGCCACCACCTCCCAGGTTCAAGCGATTCTCTTGCCACAGCTTCCCAAGTAGCTGGAATTACAGGCACCTGCCACCACACTTGGCTAATTTTTGTATTTTTAGTAGACATGGGGTTCATCATGTTGGCCAGGCTGGTCTCGAACTCCCAACCTCAGGCGATCCACCCACCTCAGCCTCCCAAGGTGCTGGGGTTACAAGTGTAAGCCACCGCCCCGACGTTTTTTTTTTCATTTTTGAGACAGAGTCTCGCTCTGTTACCCAGGCTGGAGTGCAGTGGTGCAATCTCGGCTCACTGCAACCTCCACGTCCTCGGTTCAAGCGATTCTCCTGCCTCAGCCTCCCAAGTATCTGGGATTACAGGCACGCACCACCATGCCTAATTTTTGTATTTTTAGTAGAGATGGGGTTTCACCATGTTGGCCAGGCTGGTCTCAAACTCCTGACCTCAAGTGATCTGCCAGCCTCGGCCTCCAAAAGTGCTGGGATTACAGGTGTGAGCCACCGCGCCTGGTCCATGTCTGGCTTTGCTGTCACCCAGCGTGGGTCACTCCCTGCAGCGTCTGTGCGGTGCGTCGTGCTGTTGCAGAGCCGCTGTCCATCCTTTTTCCTTGCTGTCTAATATTCTAGGTTTCCAGCAAGTCGATCTGTCCCAATTGACAGGGCTTTTCCTGAGAACAGTCTTCTGGGTCCTCTCAAAACCTTCAGCTGAACCCAAAAACCAAGACAGGGTTTCCTCCGGGAGCCCTTGCTTGTGCTCGAAGCCAACCCGGCTCAGGCTCAGGGTGTTGGCATCTAAACCTGCCTGAGACTGGGCACAGTCATGGCTCACACCTATAATCCCAGCATTGTGCGAGGCTAAAGCGAAACCCCATCTCTATTAAAAATATAGGTGATTGGTTGGGCGTGGTGGCTCACGCCTATAATCCCATCACTTTGGGACGCCAAGGCAGGTGGATCACGAGGTCAGGAGTTCAAGACCAGCCTGGCCAGCATGGCGAAACCCCGTCTCTACTAAAAATACAAAAAGAAATTAGCCAGGCGTGGTGGCAGGCACTTGGAATCCCAGCTACTCAGGAGGCTAAGCAGGAGAATCACTTGAACCCAGAGGCAGAGGTTGCAGTGAGCCAAGATTGTGCCACTGCACTCCAGCCTGGGCAATAGAGTGAGACTCTTGTCTTGAAAAAAAAAAAAAACAGGCAGCAAGTGGATCATTTGAGGCCAGGCATCTGAGACCAACCTGGGCAACATAGACCCCATAGCTCTACAAAGAAAGAAAAAAAAAAGCCAAGTGCAGTGGCTCACCCCTGTAATCCCAGCACTTTCGGAGGCTGAGGCAGGGGGATCACCTAAGGTCAGGAGTTCAAGACCAGCCTGACCAACATGGTGAAAACCCATCTCTACTAAAAAGACACACACAAAATTTGCCAGGTGTGGTGGTGCACACTTGTAGTTCCAGCTACTCAGGAGGCTGAGGCAGGAGAATCGCTTGAACCCAGGAGGTGGAGGTTGCAGTGAACTAAGATAGTTCCACTGCGCTTCAGCCTGGGTGACAGAGCGAGACTCCATCTCAAAAAAAAAAAAAAAGCATCGTCCTACCTCCTGGAGTTGTTGGGGGTCAAATGAGCTAATGTTTGGGGACATGGTTCCCCCAACATTTGATGAATAGGAAGCAAGTAGATTCAGTGAGCTCAGTAGATGGAATCCACTCACACTGCCGGCTCAGGGAATGGGGAGGCTGCAATCTAGGCAGGCTTCCAGGAGGAGGGAGCGACCTCGAGACAGGACACTGATGTGCCCCCTCTGCCCTGCACACAGGGAGCTGGCTGCACGGCACTCGTGGTGGCTGTGGTGGCCCGGAAGCTGGAGCTCACCAAGGCTGAGAAGCACGTGCATAACTTCATGATGGACACTCAGCTCACCAAGCGGGTGAGGACCACGGTTCCCATGGAGGCCACCTCCTGGCCTTGTCAGCGAGTGTAGAACTTCCCTGCTTTCCCTCTGTACGTGCCGGGCACGCACATGTGCCCACAGGTTACATAGAGCCCTGTGTCAAGACTGTGCAGGATTTGGGAGGTCTCGGCAGGCAGATCATCTGAGATCAGGAGATCGAGACCAGCCTGGCCAACATGGCGTAACTCTGTTTCTACTAAAAATACAAAAATTAGCCTGGCATGGTGGGGGGGGGGGCATGTAGTCCCAGCTACTTGGGAGTCTGAGGCAGGAGAATCACTTGAGCCTGGGAAGCAGAGGTTGCAGTGAGCTGAGATGGCACCACTGCACTCCAGCCTGGGTGACAAAGACTCTGTCTAAAAAATAAAGGCCTGTCACAGTAGCTCATGCCTGTAATCCAGTTTGGGAGGCCGAGGTGGGCAGATCACCTGAGGTCAGGAGTTCAAGACCAGCCTGACCAACATATTGAAGCCCTGTCTCTACTAAAAATACAAAAAGTTAGCTGGGCGTGGTGGTGCATGCCTGCAATCCCAGCTACTTGGGAGGCTGAGGCAGGAGCATAGCTTGAACCCGGGAGGCGGAGGTTGCAGTGAGCTGAGATCGTGCCACTGCACTCCAGCCTGGGCAAAAGAGCAAAACTCCATCTCAAAAAAAAAAAGACTGTGCTTGGCTCTGCCACCAGACACCTACCTGTGAGTAGTGCAGAGACATCGTGGCATCTACCCTTGTGCCCAGCTGTGTCCAGCCGTGGGCACGCAGCCAGAGGCTTGGGGCCAGACTGCCTTATGCAATTTGAGAGCTGTGTGACACTAGCAGGTGACTGCTCTGTGCCTCAGCTTCCCCATATATAAAGTGAGGGAGATGAAGACACATGCCGATTCACTGAGTGTTAACTCTGCATCGTGGCTGGGCGCGGTGGCTCACGCCTCTAATCCCAGCACTTTGGGAGGCCAAAGCAGGCGGATCACTTGAGATCAAGAGTTTAAAACCAGCCTGGCCAACATGACGAAACCCCATCTCTAGTAAAAATACAAAAATCAGCCAGGCATGATGGCAGGCACCTGTGATCCCAGCTACCAGGGAGGCTGAGGCAGGAGAATCGCTTGAACCTGGGAGGTGGAGGTTGCATTGAGGTGATATCGTGCCACTGCATGCTAGCCTGGGTGACTATCTCAAAAAAAAAAAAAAAAAATTGAGCCAGGTGAGGTGGCTCACACCTGTAATTCAAGCACTTTGGAGGCCAAGGCAGGTGGATCACTTGAGATACAGAGTTTGAAACCAGCCTGACCAACATGGTGAAACCCCATCTTTAAAAAAAAAAAAAAATTTGCAATGAGGTGAGATCACACCACTGCATTCTAGCCTGGGTGACAGAGCGAGACTCCATCTCAAAAAAAGAAAAAAAAATTTGCATGGTGCATAGAAGGGGCCTGGCCCGTGGTGAGTGATGTGTGTTAGGTAGACACACACTGCACAGATGTTGCTGTGCAAGCATGGCCCTGCTTTACAGCCCAGGGACCCTGAGAGGCATTTCCAGAAGTTTCTAGAAGATTCTAGACATTTCTGGAGCCTTTTGGAATTTTGTGCCAACCCTGAGGAACTGTTCTTTTTCTGGCCCTAGGTGAAAAACGCCGCTGCTAACGTTCTCAGGGAGACGTGGCTCATCTACAAACATACCAGGCTGGTGAAGAAGCCAGACCAATCCCGGGTTCGGAAACACCAGCGTAAGTTCCTCCAAGCCATCCATCAGTAAGTCCAGCACCTTTCCAGCTCACGTTTCTGTGTCCACATGGCGCGGAGGCAGCCCTCGAAGCTCAGTGTGGCCTCTTCACGGCTCCCTGCCCGGGACGGGTGGTCAGTTGGTTGGGGCCTGCATTTTCTGAGCTGTGGGGGATGGGAGGATCTTCAGAGGGAGGCAGATGATGGGTTCTGCTAAGGCATGAACACTACTCAGTAAGTGGCAGGACGTGTATTTTGTTCTCTGCAATAACCAGAATGATTCTTACCCTTTAGACTTTGAAGCAATTTCCTCTTTTTGCTTTGTCTGCCAGGAAGCTCATAATTACATCTGTAGCCTGATCCATAATTAAATCTGTAGCACTGAATTGGGCCGGGTGCGATGGCTCACGCCTGTAATCCCAGCACTGTGGGAGGCAGGAAGATAGCTTGAGACCAGGAGTTCAAGACCATCCTTGGCAATACAGGGAGACGCCATCTACAAAAACTAAAAACTTAGCTGGGAGGTGGTGTGCATTTGTGGTCCCAGCTACTAGGGCAGCTGAGGTTGGAGGATCACTTGAGCCTACAAGATCAAGGCTACAGTGAGCTGTGATTGTGCCACTGCACTCAGCCTGGCCCACAGAACAAAATCCTCCCTTAAAAGTGTATATATATGTATATATGTGTGTGTATATATGTGTGTGTGTGTGTGTGTGTATATATATATATATATATATATGTATGTATATGGCCGGGCGCAGTGGCTCGCGCCTGTAATCCCAGCACTTTGAGAGGCCAAGGCGGGTGGATCAACTGAGGTCAGGAGTTCGAGGCCAGCTTGGCCAACATGGCGAGACCCTGCCTCTACTAAAAATACAAAAATTAGCCTGGTGTGGTGGCAGGCACCTGTAGTCCCAGCTACTTAGGAGGCAGAGCCAGGAGGCAGAGGTTGCAGTGAGCTGAGATTGCACCACTGCACTCCAGCCTGGGCGACAGAGTAAGAGTCAGTCTCAAAAACTAAAAACTATAGGCCGGGCGCAGTGGCTCATGCCTGTAATCCCAGCACTTTGGGAGGCCGAGGCGGGTGGATCACGAGGTGAAGAGATCGAGACCATCCTGGTCAACATGGTGAAACCCCATCTCTACTAAAAAAAAAAAAAAAAAAAATACAAAAATTAGCTGGGCATGGTGGCGCGTGCCTGTAGTCCCAGCTACTCAGGAGGCTGAAGCAGGAGAATTGCCTGAACCCAGGAGGTGGAGGTTGCGGTGAGCCGAGATCCCGCCATTGCACTCCAGCCTGGGTAACAAGAGCGCGAAACTCCATCTCAAAAAAAAAAAACTATATTAAAACAAGTAAATAAATAAAAGTACCTCAGGTGACTTCAGTATGCAGGTAGTCACTTTTTCTGTAAAGGGCCAGATGGTAAATCTTTCTGGTTTTATGGTACAGAGTTTCTGTGCTGCTCTTCAGCTCTCTCCTGTCGAGGCAGGGAGGCAGTGAGGCTGACCTGTAGTGGCCATGTTCCAAAGAAACCTGATATTCCAAGACAGGCAGCTGGCTAGATATGACCCACAGGCCCCTCTATGCTGATGACAATACAGTCCACTAGAATGTCACGTGAACAACATATATAATTTTAAATTTGCTAACAGCCACATTAGAAAAAAGCATAAAAGGCCGGGTGCGGTGGCTCACACCTGTAATCCCAGCACTTTGGGAGGCTAAGGTGGGCAGATCATTTGAGGTCAGGAGTTCGAGACCAGCCTGACTAACATAGTCAAACTCCATCTCTACTAAAAATACAAAAAACGAGCCAGGTGCGGCAGTACATGCCTGTAGTCCCAACGACTCAGGAGGCTGTGGCAGGAGAATCACTTGAGTCTGGGAAGTTGAGGCTGCAGTGACTCAGCCTGGGTGACAGAGCAAGACCCTTCCCAAAAAAAAAAAAAAAAAAGGGTGGGTGTGGAGGCTTAAGCCTGTAATCCCAGCACTTTGGGAGGCTGAGGCAGGCGGATCACCTAAGGTCAGGAGTTTGAGACCAGCCTGGCTAACATAGTGAAACCCTGATTCTACTAAAAACACAAAAAATTAGCCGGGCATGGTGGCTATAACCAGCTACTCAGGAGGCTGAGGCAGGAGAATCTCTTGAACCCAGGAGGTTGAGGTTGCGGTGAGCCAAGATCACGCCATTGCACTCCAGCCTGGGCAACCAGAATGAAATTCTGTCTCAAGAAAAAGAGTCTCTGGGCCTCGCTTCTTCCAAAGGCGCTGGAGAAGGGTCTATTCCTTGCCTCACTCGTAGACGTGGCGCTCCAACCCTTCATCATCTCCCTGCGTGTCCTCCTGTGGTCCTAATCTTCCCCCACACTTTTTTTTTTTGAGATGTCTCACTCCAGGCAGGAGTGCAATGGTGTGATCTCAGTTCACTGCAACCTCCTGGGTTCAAGCAATTCTCCTGCGTCAGCCTCCTAAGTAGCTGGGATTACAGGTGCTCGCCACTTTGTGTGATGCCACTGTGCCTGGTTGAGTATGTCTTCTTTTTTTTTTTTTTTAAAGATGGGGTTTCACCGTATTGGTCAGGCTGGTCTCGAACTCCTGACCTCAGGTGATCCGCCCCACCTCAGCCTCCCAAAGTGCTGGGATTACAGGCGTGAGCCACCGCCCCCGGCTTGAGTATGTCTTCTTAAAGAAGAAAAAAAAAAAGAAAAAGCAGTCGAACAGGGAGGTTTCAGAGAAGCCAAGAATGGCTCCCCTAGTGAGACTTCATCTCTAAGAAATTTAAGGCCAGGCCAGGTGGTTTATGCCTGTAATCCCAGCATTTGGGAAGGCCGAGGTGGGTGGATCACTTGAGGTCAGGAGTTCAAGACCAGCCTGACCAATACGGTGAAACCCCATCTTTAAATGGCCTACATGGCCAAACCCAATCTCTACTAAAATACAAAAATTAGCCAGGTATGGTGGCGTGGCCTGTAATCTCAGCTACTTGAGAGGCTGAGGCATGAGGATGGCTTGAACCTGGGAGGCAGAGGTTGCAGTAAGCTGAGATTGTGCCACTGCACTCCAGCCTGGGCCACAGAGTGAGACTCTGTCTCAAAAAAAATAAAAAACAAAGGGATTGCTAGAAGGGGCAAGGACGTACCCTAACCAACTCTCCCTGTGGCCAGCTGTCCAGAGACCAGAGTCACCAATGCCAAGTAGCAAGAGTGGGTTCAAATCCTGCTGGGTTGTGGATGGGAAGAGGCTCTACCCCTCTGAACCTCAGTTTCCCCCGTGAGAGATGGCGTGGGCATAGTTTTCTGAATGAAACACCACCTTCAGGACAGGGCAGAGGACAGGCATGTCCCTGAGGGGCTGGCACAGAACCCTCAGAGGCTGAGCACTTCCCCAGAGCAAGGACAGCCCCTCAGCCATCTGGGAACCCCACTCTGGGGCCCTAGGGGCCCTGGGTCGGCGCCCCCGGGAGGTGGGCAGGGTCGGGTATTCGCCACACAAGTGTGCTGAGGTTAAACTTACCTTGTGATTTTTCTCCTGCTCCGCCCGGTCCTGCCAGGGCTCAGAAGTAAGTCTTCTCCCAGGGGCTCGGTGGGGCTCGGAAATCAGGGTTGCATGGTGGTCACAGACGGGCACATCTGGAGCGTGCCAACCCCAGCCTCAGAGGCAGGCAGGGTTCATGTCTGCTCCATAGATCGGTGCAGGCTTCACCTTGGTCTGGGATCCAACTTCCTGGGACAGTCCTGAGCTCGGCCGCGGACAGGACCAGCCAATGGGCAGTGTGAGCAGTGGCCAGGCTGACTCCTAGCCCTGACACACCCACTGTGTGCTGGGAGGGAATGGACCACAGGGAATCCGTCTCCCAAGTCGCACCTCCTCCTCTGGTGCATGTCCCTAGGTGACCCCCAGTGGATGCATGAGAGACCCTGTCCCCACAGCAGCCTCCGTGGGAACCCAGCTAACCCCCTCCCCCACCCTGTATCCCGCAGGCTCCGGAGCGTGAAGATTGAGCAAGGGAAGCTGAACGACCAGGCTAACACGCTCACAGACCTGGCCAAGGTGAGTGGGCGGGGCAGGGAGGGCTGGGCGGGGCGGGTGGGGCCGAGGAGCAGATGGGCTGGGGCTTGGCTCCTACTGGAGGAGTGTACAAGGACCCACTGTGGGCTGAGCACAGCGGCTCACACCTGTCATCCCAGCACTTTGGGAGGCCGAGGTGGGCAGATCACTTGAGGTCAGAAGTTCGAGACCAGCCTGGCCAACATGGTGAAACCCCATCTTTACTAAAAATATAAAAATTAGCTGGGCGTGGTCGCCACATGCCTGTAATCCCAGCTTCTCGGGAGGCTGAGGCGGGAGAATTGCTTGAACCGGGGAGGTGGAGGTTGCAGTGAGCCGAGATTGAGCCACTGTACTCCAGCCTGGGTGACAGAGCGAGACTCCAGCTCAAACAAAAGCAAGTAAACAAAAAAGACCCACTGTGGCCAGAAAGCCTGATGGTGAGGGAAACTCTATACATGGAAATCTTGTATAAAATCTTTACTTTTTAACATTGGTGGCTGCTTTTCGTTTAAATAGTTTTAGCCTCTAAGAAAATCGTTTTAGGCCGGGCGCAGTGGCTCACACCTGTAATCCCAGCACTTTGGGAGGCCAAGGTGGGCAGATCACGAGGTCAGGAGATTGAGACCATCCTGGCCAACATGGTGAAACCCCATCTCTATTATTTTTTTCAAAATTAAAAAAAAAAATTGTTTTAGCCAGTATCATGGCTACACCTATAATCCCAGCAACTTGGGAGGCTGAAGCAGGAGAATCACCTGAGGCCAGGAGTTCGAGGCTTCAGTGAGCTGTGATGGCACCACTGCATTCCTGCCTGGGCAAAGTGAGACCCATCTCTAAAAATAAAATTTTTAAATATAAGAATTTTAAAATTAGGCCGGACGTAGTGGCTCACATCTGTAATCCCAGCACTTTGAGAGGCCGAGGCGGGTGGATTGTTTGAGGTCAGGAGTTCAAGACCAGCCTGGGCAATGTGGCGAAACCCCATCTCTACAAAAAAATACAAAAATTAGTTAGGTGTGGTGGTGGGCACCTGTAATCCCAGCTATTCAGGGGCTGAGGCAGGAGGATCACTTGAACTTGAGAGGGTGAGTGTGAAGTTAGCCAAGAAGGCACCACTGCACTCCACCCTGGGCGACAGAACGAGACCCTGTCTCAAAAAAATGATAATAATTTAAAAAATCATAAAAATTTTAAGAAGAGTATATGGGCTGGGTACTGTGGCTCAAGCCTATAATCTCAGCACTTTGGGAGGCCGACGCCGGTGGATCACCTGAGGTTAGGAGTTCAAGACCAGCCTGGCCAACATGGTGAAACCCTGTCTTTTTTTAAAAAAAAGAAGAAGTGTATATCATTATGGGGCTAAATGGGTAAAGAGGTATTTCTAGATTTAGGCATACCACCTCAATTCAAGCTCTGAAAAGGAAGAGAAAAACAAAATTCCTTTGCTATGGGTATAAATTCAAATGACCCTTGGGAGAAAGCTTATTTGTATAGCAATTAAACATCTGTCAGGAAATTAAAATTGATTGCAAAAGAAATTGGGGCTGGGTGCCGTGGCTCATGCCTGTAATCCCTGCACTTTGGGAGGCCAAGGCGGGCAGATCACTTGAGCCCAAGAGTTTTCGACCAGCCTGGGCAACATAGAGAGACCCCGTCTGTACAAAAATAATTAAAAAATTAACCAGGCACGGTGGTGCGCACCTGTAGTCCCAGGCATTAGGGAGGCTGAGGCGGGAGGATCACTTGAGCCCAGGAGGTCAAGACTGCCGTGAGCTCTGATGGCACCGCTTCAGTCCAGCTTGGGCAAAACAGCAAGACCCTGTCAAAGAGAGAACGAGGCGGCAGGGTGGGGGGCGGGCGGGGAGAAAGGAAGGAAAAAGAAAGAAAGAAATCAGTTTGTGTTGTACATGAATCTGTGCATTGATTCGAATATCAAGTCATTTCCCACTTTTGTTTTTAACTTTTTTTTGAGACACAGTCTTGCTCTGTCACCAGGCTGGAGGGCAGTGGTACAATCTCGACTCAGTGCAACCTCCGCCTCCTGGGTTCAAGTGATTCTCCTGCCTCAGCATCCCGAGTAGCTGAGACTATAAGCTTACGCTACCATGCCCTGTTAATTTTTGTATTTTTTAGTAGAGACGGGGTTTCACCATGTTGGCCAGGCTGATCTCAATCTCTTGACCTCGTGATCCACCCACCTCAGTCTCCCAAAACGTTGGGCTTATGGGCATGAGCCACCGTGCCCAGCCCATTTCCTGCTTTTTGAATTCTCCCACTAGAAGATGTGTCATTGGACCAGTTGCAATTAATCAGGTGCTTGGGATCTTTGCAACACTAATTTGAGTTCCCTTCTGACCAATGACATAGTTTCAGAAAATAGCTGTTCTCAGCAGCTACCTCCCCTGATCTACCAGTCAGCCTGAGGCTAATTTCATGTTATCTTTGGAAAATGTTAAGTCCTATTCTAGTCTATTTCTTGTCCCCAGTGAATTTTGGACTCAGCGAATGCAATCTACTTTCATATTAACCTACAATAAATTTAATTTGGAAAGGAATCTTTTTTTTTTCTTCTGAGACAGGGTCTTGCTGTATTGTGCAGGCTGGAGTGCAGTGGCTAAATCACGGCTCACCACAGCCTCCATCTCCCCAGGCTCAAGCAATCCTCCCACCTCAGCCTCCTGAGTAGCTGGGACCACAGGCACGCACCACCAGGTCCTGTTAATTTTTATATTTTTTGTAGAGACAGGGTTTTGCCTTGTTGCCCAGGCTGGTCTTGAACTCCTGAGCTCAAGTGATCCTCCTGCCTTGGCCTCCCAAAGTGCTGGGATTACAGGCATGAGCCACCGCACTCAGAAAGGAATTTTACAGAGGGAAAAATGATTCTAGACCCCTGGAGATGTACAGGTAACTCTTGGACAACGTGGGTGTTATAGGGTGCTGACCCCTTAAAAGTCAAATATTCCCATGTAACTTCCTTTTTTTTGAGACAGAGTCTTGCTCTGTTGCCCCGGCTGGAGTGCGAAGGTGCAATATTGGCTCACCGCAGCCTCCACCTACTGGGTTCAAGCTATTCTCCTGCCTTAACCTCCCGAGTAGCTGGGACTACAGGTACACGCCACCACACCAGGCTAATTTTTGTATTTTTAGTAGAGACAGGGTTTCGCCATGTTGGCCAGGCTGGTCTCGAACTTCTGACCTCAAGCAATTCACCTGCCTTGGCCTCCCAAAATGTTAGGATTACAGGCATAAGACACTGTGCCCACCCTCATATAATTTTTGATGCCCCCCCACACACCCCAAATTTAACTACTGACAGACTACCATTGACTGAAAGGCTTCTTGATACCATAAACAGTTGATTTGTGTGTATTTTGTATATGTATTATATACTGGATTCTTACAATAACGTAAGGTAGAGAAAGGAAAATATTAAAATCAGGCCAGGGTGGTGGCTCACACCTGGAATCCCAGCACTTTGCAGGGCTGAGGCAGGAAGATCACTTGAGCTCAGGAGTTCAAGACCAGCCTGGGCAACATGGCAAAACCTCATCTCTACAAAAATACAAAAATTGGCTGGGCATAATAGCTCACACCTGTAATCCCAGCACTTTGGGAGGCCCAGGCAGGTGGATCACCTTAGGGTGGGAGTGCAAGACCAGCCCGGCTAACATAGTGAAACGGGGTTTCACCATGTTCTACTAAAAATACAAAATTAGCTGGGCATGGTGGCATGCACTTGTAATCCCAGCTACTCGGGAGGCTGAGGCAGGAGACTTGCTTGAACCCGGGACGTGGAGGTTGCAGTGAGCTGGGATCAAGTTATTGCACTCCAGCCTGAGTAACAGAGTGAGACTTTGTCTCAGGAAAAAAAAAAATACAAACATTAGCTGGATCTGGTGGTGCACACCTGTAGCCCCAGCTACTTGGGAGGCCGAGGCGAGAGAAATGGTCGAGCCTGGAGGTCAAGGCTGCAGTGAGCTGTGATTGCACCACCCCACTCCACCTGGGAGACAGAGCAAGACTCTGTCTCTAAAATATAAAATTTTAAGGCTTCGTGCAGGGACTCACGCCTATAATCCCAGCACTTTGGGAGGCTGAGGTGGGCAGATCCCCTGAGGCCAGAAGATCAAGATCAGCCTGGCAAACATGGTGAAACCCTCTCTCCACTAAAAATACAAAAATTAACCGGGTATGGTGGCAGGTGCCTGTTATCCCAACTACTCGAGAGGCTGAGGCAGGAGAATCACTTGAACCTGAGAGGCAGAGGTTGCAGTTAGCTGAGATCACGCCACTTCACTCCAGCCTGGGCGACAGAGCAAGAGTCCATCTCAAAAATAAAATCTAAAATAAAATTTTAAACCTCAGAGAAGGCTAAAGAGAACTCCTGGAAGGCTGGACACTGCTCTGGCTTCCAGGCGTCACCTTCCATCCCTAGGGATCGTGGCCACCTGAGAGAGGCCAGGGTGAGATCAGTGGTGCTAGGAGGGGCGGCTCCCACCCCCAAGGTGTTTGCACACTCAGAGTGGGTCTGCCTGGCAGTGATGGAGGGAAAAGTGTAGGGGGCACAGCGAGGGCAGCTGGAAGAGGCTGGGGGTGAGAGAAGCACAGAGGAGCTGGGTGGGCTCAGCTCATCCTGTCTCCCTTCCCTCCCTGCCTTCATCCTCCCATGGAGGCCACGAGGGATGGGGAACCGCTGTCCGCACCCACTGCCCTCAGAGCCGTGGAGTGATGTTCTAGCGCCACCTGGTGGCCAGGGTGGCATCTGCACCCAGGGCTGTCCCTGCCTGGCCGGCCTTCCCTGCCCATAGTGGGACAGTGCCAAAACAGGGCAGTAGAAGTGGTGGGGACGCCCCACTGGCTGCTGTAACTGTAACTGTGGCTGTCGTGTACCCAGTCTGTGATTGGGTCAGATCCTCAGGGCAGTCACCATTCTCATCAGACCCCGTCCCCTCCCCAGCCTAATGGGAGGGGTGACAGTTCAGGAGAGAACAGGGTCCCCGCTCCTCTTCCTCCTAGGCCATGTCCCCTAGTTCCTGCTGTTCTGAAGATGGGAGCAATGTCAGTCCAGAACCTCCCTAGGGTCTATGGGTGCCACTTGAGCACCCCCTCTGGCTGTGTGTGCCCTGTGGCCATTGCACCCCACCCCAGGACCTCACTTGGCCTTCCCCAGGCCTGCCCTGAGCTTGGCTTTTTTTTTTCTTTTTGAGACAGAATTTTGCTCTTGTCACCCAGGCTGGAGTGCAGTGGCATAGTCTCAGCGCACTGCAACCTCCACCTTCTGGTTCAAGTGATTCTCCTGCCTCAGCCTCCCGAGTAGCTGGGATTCCAGGTGCCCACCACCTTGGCCCCAGCTAATTTTTGTGTTTTTAGTAGAGTTCACCATGTTGGCCAGGCTGGTCTTGAACTCCTGATCTCAGGTGACCCACCTGTCCAGCCTCCTGACGTTCTGGGAATACAGGTGTGAGCCACCGCATCCAGCTGAGCTTGGCATTTAAGACCTGTTTCTTAGGCTGGGTGCCGTGGCTCACGCCTATAATCCCATCACTGTGAGAGGCCAAGGTGGGCGGATCACTTGAGGCCAGTCAGGAGTTCCAGACCAGGCACGCCAACATGGTGAACCCCGTCTCTATTACAAAATAACAAAAATTAGCCGGGTGTGGTGGTGCACGTCTGTAATCCCAGCTACTCAGGAGGCTGAGGCAGGAGAATCACTTGAACCTGGGAGGTAGAGGCTGTAGTGAGCCAAGATTGGGCTACTGCACTCCAGCCTGGGGGACAGAGTGAGACTCTGTCACAAAAAAAAAAAAAAAAAGAGCTGTCTCTCCCCTCATCCACTCTCCATCCTTCCCTGGCCCAGCAAGGGACCTCAGGGAGTGGGGGTATCCTCCTAGCCACCCCTCACAGGGGCCCCGTTAGCAGCCACCACCCTCCTGCAGCATGTGGGGCTGTCCCTGTCATCTGTCCTGGTATCTCCCTCTCTCACTCGGCCCCGCCTCTCTCCCACCCTTCTCTGTCTCCTCCAGACCCAGAGCGTCATGTACGACCTTGTATCGGAGCTGCACGCGCAGCATGAGGAGCTGGAGGCTCGCCTGGCCACCCTGGAAAGCCGCCTGGATGCCCTGGGCGCCTCTCTGCAGGCCCTGCCCGGCCTCATCGCCCAAGCCATACGCCCGCCCCCGCCGCCCCTGCCTCCCCGGCCCGGCCCCGGCCCCCCAGACCAGGCGGCCCGGAGCTCCCCATGCCGGTGGCCTCCCGTGGCCACCTCGGACTGCGGGTGACGGCCCTGCCCGCCACCAGACCCCCTAAATCTTGGCCATCGTGTGGCCGCCACCTCCGTGAAGCCCTGTACCATGGCGCCTCTTGGAGTTCAAGAAGCCAGCGCTGAGTCGGGCTGAGTGGACTGGGGCCTGCCCCGCCCAGACTGCCCGGGCAGAGGGCAGGGCTGGACCATGGGTGAGGGCAGAGGAGCCCGGAGCTGCCTCTGGCTACCTGGTCCCCCGACTCTCCCCAGGCTCCAGGTGGGCATGGAGCAGCCCAGGAGGGGTCAGTGCTCGTTCTGAATAAAGCAGGACCCACCCACCCAGTGGCTGCCTGTGTGGGTGGCTGGGAGGTACCAGTATGTCCCAGGAGGTAGGCCCCCAACCCCGGGCACCAAGATGAATGTGGGAATCAAAGAAGCCCGTTCCTGTCACCGGCCTAGCCTAGAAGCCTAGCCTAGACGCGCCCTCTCCCTCTGGGCTGGAGCTCAGTCAGGGACAACTCTCTAGGGACATCTGTGCCAGCCCCACCTGGCGCTGACAGCAAGATCCCTCAGAGGACGTCGCCCAGCCCTGGCCGGAAGCAGCCCTCCCCTTCAGCCAATCGTGTTGATGGACACCCACCGTGTGCCAGGTCCCAGCAGGGCCTGTGGGGGAGGTGACCTGGGTGAGGAAGGTCATTTGGGTTTTTGTGAGATGTGTATTGAGCACCTGCTGTCTACAGAGAATGTGATGCTGTCAATTACCACACTGACTCCTCATCAGAGCTTGACCAAGGTGGGAAGGGGGGAAACTGAGGCGCAGAGAGGTAAATCTACCTGTCTGGGGCCACGAAGCACGGAGGGATGGTACTGGATTTAAACTGGAAATTGCCTAGGTCAAGGTAAAGAACTGAACTGGCTGGGCGCAGTGGCTTACGTCTCTGCAGCACTTTGGGAGGCCATGGTGGGCAGATCACAAGGTCAGGAGTTCAAGACCAGCCTGGCCAGCATGGTGAAACCCCATCTGTACTAAAAATACAAAATATTAGCCAGGCGTGGTGGCATGCACCTGTAATCCTAGTACTCGGGAGGCTGAGGCAAGAGAATCGCTTGAACCTGACAGGCAGAGGTTGCAGTGAGCCCAGATCGTGCCACTGCACTCCAGCGTGGGTGACAGAGCGAAACTCAATTTCAAAAAAAATTAGCTGGGGGTGGCAGTATGCGCCTGTAATCCCAGCTGCTCGGGAGGCTGAGGCAGGAGGACCACTTGAACCCAGGAGGTAGAGCATGCATTGAGAAAAACGGAACCTGGACTTCATGGAAGGGACTCCATGGAGGAGCCATGGGGACGGCAGGAGGAGGGGGTATTTGGTGACATCCAGGGATCAGAGAAACGCTTCCAGGTGGGCTAGAGGGGAGGGTTCCAGACACAGGTAGAAGTTGAAAGGTCCTGCACAACTTGGGCTTGGGTGCTGGGGGCAGTGGATACTTAATTGGCAGATACAGAGCCCTGGGTGTGGTGGGGAGGCCAGGTTCCTGGGGAGACTATGCGTGCCCAGCCTCAGAGCCCCAGGTCCTGGCAGCCTCTGATAAGGCCATCAGTCGCCTGGCTCAACATGATATCTAGCCCATGGCTGGTGCAAGTATTGGACCGAAGCGTGAGAAGGGAGTGGGGAGGCGCTGGTCAGACCAGCGTTCGAGTCCTGACTGCCACTGCTGGGTGTTTCTGAGCAGTGGCCGGCCCTCTGGAGCCTCGGTTGTTTCATCTCTAAAATGGGGGTGACAGTCTACTGAGCCAGAACTCCCTAAAAACGGCCAGGCAACTAGTAGGTGCTCAATAAATGCTCCTTCCAGCCTGAGGGATCACATCGGAGTCTTGGGCAGGACTCATCCTTTATACCCTGTTGTCTGGCTGGGGAAACTGAGGCATGAGAAGGAAGGGGGCTGTCCTTCAGGGCGAGAGGCCAGGGTTCAGTTAAGGGACATTCATGAGTGTACCTTCTGTGCTCAGTGGTAGCCCCAGGTCTGATGGCAGAGAGGCACAGTAAACCATAGCAGTGGGAAAAAGAAAGTAACCAAAGGCCAGGCAGTGGCTCACACCTCTAATCCCAGCACTTTGGGAGGCCGAGGCTGGTGGATCATGAGGTCAAGAGATCGAGACCATCCTGGTCAACATGGTGAAACCCCATCTCTACTAAAAATACAAAAAATTAGCTGGGCATGGTGGCGTGTGCCTGTAATCCCAGCTACTCACGAGGCTGAGGCAGGAGAATTGCCTGAACCCAGGAGGCGGAGGTTGCGGTGAGCCGAGATTGCGCCATTGCACTCCAGCCTGGGTAACAAGAGCGAAACTCCGTCTCAAAAAAAAAAAAAAGAAAAGAAAAGATAGAAACAGGCCGGGCGTGGTGGCTCACGCCTTAATCTCAGTACTTTGGGAGGCTGAGGCAGGAGGATCATTTGAGGTCAGGAGTTGGAGACCAGCCTGGCCAACATGGTGAAACTCCGGCTTTACTAAAAATACAAACATAAGCTGGGCGTGGTTGTGCACGCCTCTCGTCAGGAACTTGGGAGGCTGAGGTAGAATTGCTTGAACCCAGGAGGCGGAGGTGCAGTGAGTCGCGATCGCGCCACTGCACCCCAGCCTGGGCGACAGAGCCAGACTGCATTAAAAAAAGAAAGAAAAGTAAACAAGGCCAGAGGTGGCAAGGGGACTCTGAGGAAGTGACATTTGGGTGTAGATGGTGTGGGTGGGAACACGGGTCTGGCAGCGGTACAGTCCAGCGCGGAGGCGAAGAGGGGGACCCGAGGTGGTTGTGTTAGGGGGACAAGCCAGGAAGTGACAATGCAGGGGAGACTGAGGCGGTGCCGGGTGGGGGAGAATGAGACCACAGGACTGAGCTCCGCGGCCTTTTGGTGCCTCCCCGGCCACCTCCGCCCCTGCCTGCCTCTGAGTCATCAGAGCCGACCCTACAGAAAACAGGGCCCGCCCAGCTCCGAGGATGGCAAAGTCAACGGCGCGTCACGGGGGCGGACGCAGAGGACCAGGAAGTTCCCCGACGACGCGCCAGCCCAAGTTCGCTGGGGGCCCGGGAGGAAGCTCCGGGGGCGCCCCGGGCCGCGGAGACCCAGGGGACCTGCAGGCGCACCCCGGCCGTGCGCCTCCCCGCCGCGTGTCCAGGCTGTGGCCCCCGCCGGGCGCACAGTCCCCGCCGCGCGCCATGCGCCCTGGGGGCGTGCGCAGCTTCGCGCTGGAGCTGGCGCGGGGCCCGGGCGGCGCCTACCGCAGCGGGGAGCGGCTGTGCGGCCGGGTGCTGCTGGACGTGGCGGCGCCGCTGCGGGTGCGAGCGCTCGAGGTGAAGGCGCGCGGCGGAGCGGTCACCCACTGGCTGGAGGGTCGCAGCGTGGGCGTCAACGCCGTGTCCAGCGACTACGCGGCCGCCGAGACCTACCTGCGGCGGCGGCAGCTGCTGCTCCGAGGTGAGACACTCCGCGCGGTCCCCGCCGCAGCCCGGACCCCTTCGGCTGGGACCCTCTCCAGGGCCGGAAGCCCTTCCACTTGGAACCTCTGCGATCGGGTGATCCTTTTTCAAGGAGTGGGAACCCCCTTCCCGGGGTTCGGACCCTCACACAGGCCAGGAGTTCAAGACTAGTCTGGGCGACATGGCGAAACCCCATGTCTCCAAAAAATACAAAAATTAGCCAGGCTAGTGGCGCGCGCCTCGAGTCCCAGCTACAGGCTGACGTGGGAAGATCACTCGAGCCTGGGAGGTAGAGGCTGCAGTGGGCTGAGATCGCATCACTGCACTCCAGCCTGGACACTCGCCCAGCCCCGGTCAGGACCCCCAATAACCGGAAACGTCTACCCAGGGTCTGGGCGTTCCCCTCTCTGGCGCCAGACGCCCTCAACTTAGAGGTTGTGCGGTGGGGAGGCCCCTTTCAAAGCAGGGGGACCCTCTTATTAGAGTCCAGGGAACCCCTGGGAAATAGAGTGGAGATCTCCCAGGTGGACCCCAGGGTCCCCGCTGATCCCAGGCCTGGAGTCCCTGATTCTCAAAGAAGGCTCCCAACTCACGTGTTACCTGGGCCCCACCTCAGCTTACCCCACAGGGTCTGCATCGAGGTAGCCTTGGCGGTCTGGTGGTATTTCGCCGTGAGGAGGTGGAAGTGCATCCCAGAGGCGGGGAGATGAAGTGGGGTCACATTCTCCTGGGAGTCTGGGTCTTGGAGATCCCTACTCTGCCCCAGCCTCAGTCCTTCTTGCATCCCGAGTGCCCCGAGGCTACACAGCCGGTCACCAGCCAGCCAGGGGCCACAGAAGGAGGCAGTCCATACCCTTGCACCCTACTGTGTGGCTGCCAGAGGGCGTCAGCCTCTCTGGGCCAAGCTAGACCTCACTATACCCGGCTGTAAAATGGGCCAGGAGGGAAGCAGCTCAGATTCCCGACAGTGCATTTTTCCCAGCGCTGTAGGCAATAGAAGCTTTAGGGACACAAAGCAGGATGCGGGAGACCCTCCCCTCCCCAGCAGTAGAAACAGAGGAACGAGTGCGGTGGGGCAAGGCAGGAAGGGGCCCAGGAGGCGCTTCCCTTCCCCAGCGACCCAGAGAACTATTGGGGCCGCTTTCACCCGAAGGCGGCCCCAGGCACTCAACAGCGACTTCCTTAAAACAGAGGAGTGAGCCACCACGCCAGGTGGCTCTCTTAAAATACATAAAAATTGGCTGGGCACAGTGTTTCACTCCTGTAATACCAGCACTTTGGGAGGCCGAGGCAGGAGGATCACCTGAGATCAGGAGTTCAAGACCAGCCTGGTCAACATGGTGAAACCCCATCTCCACTAAATATACAAAAATTAGCCAGGCTGATTTTTCAATTAGCCCAGCTACTCAGGGGGCTAAGGCAGAAGATCGCTGGAACCCGGGAGGCTGACATTGCAGTGAGCCTAGATCACACCACCGCATTACAGCGGGGCTGTCAGGGTGAGACCCTGTCTCAAAAAAAATTAATTAATTAAATAAAATGTTTGGCCGGGTGCAGTGGCTCACACCTGTAATCCTAGCACTTTGGGAGGCTGAGACGGGCAGATCACTTGAGCATGAGAGTTCGAGACCAGCCTGGACAACATGGCGAAACCCCGTCTCTACAAAAATTAGCTGGGCGCGGTGGTGCACACCTGTAGTCCCAGCTACTCGGGAGGCTGAGATGAGAGGATCGCTTGAGCCCGGGAGGCAGAGGGTTGCAGTGAGTTGAGATGGTGCCACTGCACTCCAGCCTGGGTGACAGAGTGAGATCCTGTCTCAAAAAAAAAATTTTTTTTTTTATTTAAAATTTTGTAAACGTTTAAGAAAAAAAAAAGACAATGATACTGGAGAGTCGAGGCCAGTGGTGCTGCTGTGTGACCTCAGGCAGGGGCCTGCCCCTCTCTGGGCCTCTGGGGTCCCTATGTGAAATGAATTGAGGAAGGCGCTGGCTTCGTAGTCCCTTCAGGGTTACCTCATCCGCTTCCCCTCCAGACTTAACAGCCTACTCTCTCCTGTCCAGGATCCTCTGAGACCTGGCACAAGGTCCCAGACATTTCTTGCTTTCTTTCTTTTTGAGACGGAGTTTCGCTCTTGTTAACCAGGCTGGAGTGCAATGGCGCGATCTCGGCTCACCGCAACCTCCGCCTCCTGGGTTCAGGCAATTCTCCTGCCTCAGCCTCCTGAGTAGCTGGGATTACAGGCACGCACCACCATGCCCAGTTAATTTTTGTATTTTTAGTAGAGACG